ACATATATATACATACACATATATATACATATATATACATACACATATATATACATATATACATACACATATATATATACATACATATAAATATATATATAAACACCTACGTACATATATATATATATACATTTACATACATATACTTACACATACACATAGACACATAGGCCAACACAAACATATATATAATACATATACATACATATATACACACAAATATATACATATATTTATACACACACACACACACACACACACACACACACACACACACACACATGTATATGTATATATATATATATATATATATATATATATATATATATATATATATATATATATATATATATATATATATATATATATGAGGAAAACACTCTATCGTGTTGATACTATGGTAGAAAAACCCACAATGTAAAAACACTACATTGTGGGTTTTTCTACCATATATATATATATATATATATATATATATATATATATATATATATATATATATATATACATACATACATATGTACATATGTACATATGTACATATGTACATATGTACACATATGTACACACACACACACACACACACACACACACACACACACACAACACACACACACACACACACACACACACACACACACACACACACACACACACACACAATTATTAAAAATAATAATAATAATAATAATAATAACAATAACAACAATAATAAAATACGTAAAAGTAAAAGTAAAAGTAATAATAACAATAATAATAATTACAATAATAATAATAATAATAATAACCACAAACATAATCAAAGTGATAACAATAATGATGATAGTGAAAATGAAAATAATAATAATAATCATTATTATTACAACAACAATAACAATAATAGTAATAGTAATAGTAATAGTAGCAGCAATAATAATAATAATAACAAAAATAACAACAATAATAACAATAATACAATAATAAGAACGAAAATATTAACAATAATGATGATAAAAATAATGATAACAACAATAAAAATAATTACACCAACAACAATAGTAATAGTAATAATAATAATAATAATAATCATAATAATAACAACTACAATAATTGTAGAGATGATAACGAAACTAGTAATAGTAGTAACAGTAATAGCAATTATTATCAATATTATCACTATCATCAACTCATCAAAAATATCATACATCGGCAATGGGTCTGCACCCCCCCCCCCCCCTGAAACCCATAATCATGTACCTAGCCAAGGCCTGATGATGTTTCAAGATAAACAAACACATTTTTTCACAATATAATCATAAAATTCCTTAGCCTTTATTCCCTTGCACATCCTATTCATTTCTAAGAATACCAATCTACATTATCTCAACTTTATGCTTAATTTTAGTATATACATATACATCTATACACACACACACACACACACACACAATATATATATATTTAGATTCGTAAAATCATGGTGTTTTCACACACGTGCTGTATGTAAACACTATAAATAGGTATAGATTTTTTTTTTTTTTTTTACATTTTTCCTTGTCTGCTTGTGAGTGCACAGACTTAAGCTCAAAAAAATATAATAATAATAATAATAATAATAATAATAATAATAATAATAATAATAATAACAATAATAATAATAATAAAAAAAATATATATATGCATATTAATCCTAGCATCATTTTAAACAGAAGTACTCTCACTAAAAAACATCAATAAATATATATATAATATACATATATATATATATATATATATATATATATATATATATATATATATATATATATATATATATATATATATATATATATATATATATAATACTACATCATATAGTCCTATTATATCAAATTAATTTATTTCTTTAGAACTTATTAGCAGTAATCAAAATGCACAAAGCATCACAAATTCTCCAGTAATAAAGAGTTTAGTTAACTGAAGCATGACTGCCAAACTAAGTAGTAATGTATATTGCATCTATATTTCTTTTAGTGGTAATGTATTGAAGTTATAGAAATATATCTTCATGTCACATCTACTTTTTGTCTGTCTCTTTAAGACTAGTTTTGCCTTCATTGACACTACAAACAAATGATCTCTCACACACTTATATCGCAGACAAAATCAACAACACTCACAGGCACAGACACACACAGTGTAACATATAGAAATGCACACATTTACACAAACACAAACAATAAAAGGGTGAGGGGGAGAGTGAGAGTGTGAGAGTGTGAGAGTCAGAGAGAGAGAGAGAGGGTGTAAAAGAGTTAGAGAGTTAGAGAGTTAGAGAGAGAGAGAGAGAGAGAGAGAGAGAGAGAGAGAGAGAGAGAGAGAGAGAGAGAGAGAGAGAGAGAGAGAGAGAGAGAGAGAGAGAGAGAGAGAGAGAGAGAGAAGGAGAGAGAAGGAGAGAGAAGGAGAGAGAAGGAGAGAGAAGGAGAGAGAAGGAGAGAGAAGGAGAGAGAAGGAGAGAGAAGGAGAGAGAAGGAGAGAGAAGGGGAGAGAAAAGGAGAGAGGGAGAGAGAAAGAGAGAGAGGGAGAGAGGAGAGAGAAGGAGAGAGAAGGAGAGAAAAGGAGAGAGAAGGAGAGAGAAGGAGAGAGAAGGAGAGAGAAGGAGAGAGAAGGAACGAGAAGCAGAGAGAAGGAACGAGAAGCAGAGAGAAGGAACGAGAAGCAGAGAGAAGCAGAGAGAAGCAGAGAGAAGCAGAGAGAAGCAGAGAGAAGCAGAGAGAGCGGAGGAGAGCGAAAGAGACAGAGAGGAGACAGAGAATGAATTTCTACACAAGACAGGGATATAATCATAAAAATATGCTTCCTGTGTTTAAAATGTTTTTAATGGTCTTTATGATTATACACTCATCTTATAATAACAACCCATAAATAGACATAAACAAGGAAACATATAACTGCACACAAAAGGAAAATAAAGTCACATCCACATCTGTTCACACATGCACAAGAGGAGTAATAAAGAGAAAGAGAGTAAGATGTTCACTCACTTACTCGCTCGCTCTCGCTCTCGCTCTCGCTCTCTCTCATGAGAAAGAAGGAATAAAAATCTAGCAAATGAGAGAGATTTTGAGAGAGAATGGTAAACTAGACCAAGCAAAGCAAAACCAAGTTAAAAAAGGAAAGAGAAAAAGAAACCAAACATACAAACTGACAGACAAATACACACATTCATAAACCAGCTGGCTTCCTCCAAAACAACAACTACCATTTTCTTCCATACCTATATATACACCTCTTTTTTTCTTAAAAAAACAAAACAAAACAAAACAAAAAAACAGAAAGCTCTCCACTCCAAACAAACAAAAACAAAAACAAAAATTTATCATGCCACCTGCCACCCTAAGGCAATTTTTTTCACACCGAAAACACCAACAGGACAAAGACCTTGAGCAACGCATTAAATGAATGGTGGGCTATATAATTCCGAATCCTCCTCCATATGCCTTTCCCGCACACCAATATCCTGATATACATGGCTAGAGCTTACATTTTGATGGTTAAATTAGACCTTATGCCAGTCCTCACTAGCAGCTAGAGGTAAATTTCAATCCATAAATTATGCCTTTTAATCAATATGTCTTTCCAGAGCACTATACAGGGACCAAAATACCATCTGATCGAAACAACCAAGCAAACACATACAATCCTGGCAAACAACTGCCACCTTTTTCCGAATCTACCATACATTCATTACATATTTTCTGCTTTAAATTTCACTAGTCTTCAGCAAGACTAACGACTATTTTGCTTCACTACTAATCAAATTCGTACTCCAAGTCTTTAAAGTATTAAAATTTGGCAAAAAGAGCACACAGCACACACTACTCTCTCACACACACACGCACACACACTACTCTCTCTCTCTCTCTCTCTCTCACACACACACACACACACACACACACACACACACACACACACAAAAGTCCAGGATCTGTCAGACATCACTATTTTGCATGCAAGAATTCATAATGTGTGATATGAATACAAGTTCTCTTAAGAGTAGGGTGTTTATATTTCATGTAGGCCTATACAAGCGGAGGAGGGAGTGGGAGAGGGAACAGGGAAGAGTGAGAAGAGAAGGAGAGAGAGGAGGGAGGGAACGAGGGAGGAAGGGAATGAGAGAACAAGAGAACAAGAGAACGAGAGAACAAGAGAGGGGGGAGAGGGGGGAGGGGGGAGGGAGGGGGAGAGGGAGAGAGAGAGAGAGGAGAGAGAGAGAGAGAGAGAGAGAGAGAGAGAGAGAGAGAGAGAGAGAGAGAGAGAGAGAGAGAGAGAGAGAGAGAGAGAGAGGGAGGGAGGGAGGGAGGGAGAGGGAGGGAGAGAGGGAGGGAGAGAGGGAGGGAGGGAGGAGAGGAGAGAGAGAGGGAGAGAGGAGAGAGAGAGAGAGAGAGAGGGAGAGAGAGAGAGAGAGAGAGAGAGAGAGAGAGAGAGAGAGAGAGAGAGAGGAGAGAGAGAGAGAGGAGAGAGAGAGAGAGAGAGAGAGAGAGAGAGAGAGAGAGAGAGAGAGAGAGAGAGAGAGAGAGAGAGAGAGAGGAGAGAGAGAGAGAGAGAGAGAGAGAGAGAGAGAGAGAGAGAGAGAGAGAGAGAGAGAGAGAGAGAGAGAGAGAGAGAGAGAGAGAGAGAGAGAGAGAGAGAGAGAGAGAGAGAGAGAGAGAGAGAGAGAGAGAGAGAGAGAGAGAGAGAGAAGAGAGAGAGAGAGAAGAGAGAAAGAAAGAGAGAGAAAGAAAGAGAGAGAAAGAGAGAAAGAGAGAAAGAGAAAGAGAGAAAGAGAGAGAGAGAGAGAGAGAGAGAGAGAGAGAGAGAGAGAGAGAGAGAGAGAGAGAGAGAGAGAGAGAGAGAGAGAGAGAGAGAGAGAGAGAGAGAGAGCCCAGAGTGGAGGGAAAAAACCTGCCCCAAAGACGGGCATGGGAGTCCCGTGGGCCACGCCAGCGTCTTCCTGCCCCCCGAAATCCTGCCGAAATCCCCGGCAGCCACGCCAGCGTCCTCAC